CGCTAGTATCTGGATGGAAGTCTATACGCTTTCGGAGTCATGTCTTCCTAAGTAATCCGTCCAGCCATGGGACACGGACTCGTCAGAGAAGCCAAATCCGAGGTCTCCTGCTCTGGGTACAGAATTAGAATCTGCACTTTAACAAGATCCCATCAAACTGCTTGACAGCGGTAGGGAGCGGTTCCACATTCGAATGGTTTTCATTATGCCGCTTACAGCTCTACCGAGCGACCTCGTTTTCATTGTCCCAGGAAGCAATGAAATGAAGGGTGGAAGAGAGAATTGACTAGACGCATGAAGTGTGCCTGGCAAGTACTGCAGAAGGCTTACTTATATGTGGTGCCCAGTTCACCATAGTGGTGTTTTCTCTTACTGTGATTAGCTGTGTGGGAGCATGCATTCAGCTCAAGATGAAGTTTGGCCAAGGAGGCAACAGAGGAGTTGGGAGCGCATGGTGGGCTGGGAATATACCGTTGGACCAGCGACTGGAAACCAGTAGACTAGAAAGTGAAGGCAAAGCAGGCTGATGGCGGGCCCAATGGAGTCTAAGATTGATGGGCATGAGGGTATCGGAGTGAGCGGAGAAGATGATTAAGTAAGTGGTTTTGGAGAGTAGGATGCCTGCCACTGAGATTTCAGAGGCCTTGGAGTTATCAGCACTGGCAGTATCTTGGACAAGATCAAGGGTGTAGGTTGGTGAGGCTAGGTAGACCATAAAGTCATCAGAGTAAGAAAATCAAAGAAGGGCCTGGAGAGATGGTTGAGTGGTTAAGAGCACTCGTTCTTTCCGAAGACCCAAGTTTGGTCCCCAGCCCTGACATGATGGCTCATAACCATCTGTTCCGGCTGATCTGACATCTTTTGATGCACATGCAAACATGCAGGCAAAACACCCATTTATAGATAAAACTGAAAAAAAATGTTTAAGTCATGCAACTGAAAAGTGAGATGGCAGAGATGGTTGGAGATCTGCCTTCCTAACTCTCATTTCTTTCTTCTTTCAAAAGCATTAATCCATCTCCATCTCCATCAGATGCCAGGAAAGGGAATCCCCGCCGCAGGAGGCATTAATCCATCTCCATCAGATGCCCATTTCCACAGAGATGCACTTCTTAGCCTCCCCAATACGGGGCGGGGGGGGAGATACCATGTAGAACTTCTGTTAAATTTTTCTTCATGTCTTTATCCTTGTGTATAGGACGCTCATAGAATAGCTAGAGCTCAGCCTGGCATTGGTGGCACACACCTTTAATCCCAGCACTCGGGAGGCAGAGGCAGGCGGATCTCTGTGAGTTTGAGACCAGCCAGATCTACAAGAGCTAGTTCCAGGACAGCCTCCAAAGCCACAGAGAAACCCTGTCTCAAAAACCGAAAAAAAAAAAAAAAAAGAAAAGCTAGACCTCCAGCAGCCACTTTGGACCATGATGTAGCTAAAAACAACAGGCTAGAAAAAAACTATGCAACTAGCAAATCATCTCATAAAAGATGTCTACCTCCAGACATTTTTTTTTTTATGAGAGGGAAATAAATGTCAATCTTGTTAGGCCACGGTTGTTTACTGCTTTTGTATTAAATGGAGCTGGACCAAATCCTAGTTAATACATTGGATTGGATTGGTAAAGTACTAATTACATAGATATTAAATCACCATCAAGAAGAACTGTGTCTACAGACCTGAAGCATTGAGCTGGGTACTGAAGTCCTCACTGGATGAAGGGGAATAAATGAGTCAATAAATAATTATAAACAAGCCGGGTGATGGTGGCTCACACCTTTAATCCCAGCATTCGGGAGGCAGAGGCAGGCGGATCTCTGTGAGTTCCAGGCCAGCCTGGGCTCCAAAGCTACACAGAGAAACCCTGTCTCAAAAAAACAAAACAAAATAAAATAAAATAAAAATAATTATAAACAGTAGAGGTAGTGGGTGCTTCAAAAGAACTGGTGAGCTGGAGAAAGCAATAAAAATAAAAATAAATAGCAACAGGGGAATGGGTATCGTGAGAATCAAGAGAGAAATAAGCCAGGCTTTCTATTTTAAGGTCTAGACTTTGTAAGACCCACTTGACTGAGGAAATAAGTTGTGTACAACACCTGTTTCACACCATACTGTACATTAGAACTACCCAGACTTACATCAGTGTTCTACTCTAGTGTGTTTTCTGCAAAACAGTTTGCCCCAAAGCCAGTTCTAAATGATAAGCACTCTTTACTCTCCTTTTAGAAAACTGCTGTTCAATATTTTATTTAGTCCTTTAAAAACTCATTCTTTTTTTAACCTCCCTTGTTAAGTATGTTCATTCAATTAATTATCATTATTTTGCTGAAGCTCCACTATGCTCCAGGAGCTACACTGGGCCCTGGGAGCACAGATGAGTTACAAGGCATCTGTGTCTAAAGAGGAGAGAGTTAGGAGGTAAAGGAATCATTGTCTTTGGGTCTTGTGACAATGTCGTCCATCAAATGTGATTGAGGAATTGAGTATACCAACTATGATCAGAGCACAAAGGTCACAAATGTCATGTTCAGGAGCAGAAAGCTGTTCCTAGAAGGGATAACAGATGATCTGAATCTTGAAGATTGAGTGTTACTCGGCTGGAAAGGGGGCAGTCTATTAAAAACAGTACAGCAGAGAATGTGTGAGAAGTCTGGTGCCTTGGGGCGGTATAGGTAGAGAGTCTGAGGATGTTTATGTACCGTGCTGCTGCTAGGCAGGACTACTAACAGCAAATAAAACTACCTTGTTTGTGTATAACTTGTTCTTCACAGCCAGCAGTTTTCCTGCTGGGAACTACCGGTTTAATGTGCTCAGCCTGGAGGAACAACCTACCTGAGTGATTTTTAAGAAGTCTTGACCTTATATCACCAATGCCCCCAACCATAATTTGTATTTTTCCATCACAGGAACCAAAATTGTTGTAGTAAATTATATTATGCTTTATTAGAGCAACTTAATCTGAGCAGAACTGAAGAAACAGTAATTTAAATAGGTGCTCTCAGCTAATATTCTTTTTCAAAAAGAAGGGTTTTTTTTTTTAATTTTATGTGTTAAAAGTGTTTTTGCTTGCATGTGTGCACACTTGCAGTGCCCATAGGGGCCAGAAGGGAGAGGCAGATGCCCTGGAATTGGAGTTACAGACACTTGTGGATTCTGGGAACCAAACCCAGGTCCTTTGCAAGAGCAGCAAGTATTCTTAACCACTGAGTTATCTTTAGACCCAACTATCTAACATTCTTCTGAGAAAATTTTAGTATGCTGTAGTTCAGGTCAAACTCTGAACTGAACAAAACCAAAAAACTTTTAGGATAATTTTAGATTTAAGTTGTGAAGACAACATGGAGTTTTTAGATGCTCCACACCCAGTTTTTTTCATGGAACATGTCACTGTGGTGCTTTTACCAATTTAACACCAATATTTGATACAGCATTTTTAGCCAGAGTACATATTTATTAATAGTCCTTTAACTTTGACTTAATGGCTTTTTGTCTATTTTGGGATTCTCAGTATGAATACTTCAACCCTAAAGGCTCCTGTATACTACGAAGGAAGCCCTTCTTAGGAGTGTGTGTGTGTGTGTGTGTGTGTGTGTGTGTGTGTGTGAAATTCTAAGGTAGTAAGGTATTTGTAGATCATACTGAGGTTGCCTAATAACTTTTCTCATGTCTAGCCTGGGCTATAGTCTGAAGGAGGAACAGCACAGAGATATTGTCATATGATTGTCACTGCTTATTTTGACATGGACTACCTAGCTGAGGTAGTTTGCCGTCTTTCTCCTCCAAAGTTATCCCTTACCCCCCCCCCACACACACACACACACTTAGATTCTGAAGGAAGTTAATCTATGAGGGGAAAACACATTAATTATTTGGAATTCAGTACGGGAACTTTATCCATCCCATCCCACTAATGTTTTCAATCATTTATTTATAACAATATGGACTCTCAGGTACCTTTATGTTTCATGTTATAACCCAAAACTAAGTTATTTATTGCTTCAATAATTTTTTTTCCAATTTGGCCATTGGGGCCACTTTGCAATGGATTCTTGCCCTGTTGACACATGCTAGTCACTTCTTTTTGGCCACTTCTTTATTCTGTGGTGTTACAAGAATACATCTTTTGGGTAACCAGATTTATCATAGATGGGAAAGTGGTGTAACCTTTTAATATGGCCAGAAGAGCAAAATGTGTAAATCGATAAGTCAGTACACGTTCATCAGTGACTACACTTTGTATCCTAAGCTGTTTTAAGTTATTGGTCCCCCCTTCAGCTTGGTTTAGAAATCAATGATGTTTTTGTAGTTTTACACATTCTAAGTGGAATGAAGCAGTCAGTTCAATTTAAAATTGCAGGCTTTGAAGAAGCCTGCTATGTTACTGCTGCTAAGGAGAGATGGCATTTTTG